ACACAAGGACAAGTGGCATTTGGCACAGGCAAATGACAGGCAAAGCATGTTGGGAGAGGCCCACTTAATTCACAGAGACACTTGGAATTAGTTGTAAATTCTCTGGGAAGAAATCAAGGCAGCAGCATAATCAGCTCAATTAAATTGTCGGCTCAACATTCAGTGCGCAGTAATGGTCAAAACACAGCCTTTAATCTAGATATAGAGGATTATCTTTTGACCAGCAATGAGATTCCTAAGATTAGTTGTACCTGAGGTGGAGGGAACAACAGAGCTGGTTCAGCGACACCGAGGACAGGCTTGCATGTCAGTACGACTGGGACTTGTGTGGAAGGGGCTACCTGGACCCCGCAACCTTCTTGGAGCCCCCTCCGGATGCTGGGAAGACAGGGATGAATCTCGTTCTGCTTCCTCTGCAGAAGAGACACAGTCTGGGAACAGATCCCCTGAACACATCTGCTTTAAAAATGTGGCAAGTCTGACATGCCCCCACCTCCAGACCAAAGCTAAAGCCACTAGCACCAGGTCCGAGGCAGAGAGATGGCGGGCTTTAGCCCTCTGCTATCCTACCCTCCACGATCAGCCACTCACGTTCACTCACTCATTTTGCAAATATTGATCCCATGCCTGCTAGGTGTCAGGTCCTGTTCTTGACACAGAAGATATGCAGTGAACAAAGAGTAAAGATCCCTACCCCATCATGGGGCAAGACAAAGAATAAACAAGAAAAATAAATATGCTGTGTGTGAAATGGGAATGAGTGATAACTCAGAAAAATAAAGCAGAGATGAGGATAGGAAGTGTTGAGTGTGGAGGACAATTCTAGATATGGTGCCCAGGAGAGGCTTCACTGAGCACGTGCCATTTAAAAAAAGACCAGAAGGGAGTGAATAGTGACAGCAGTGGGGAAGCATTCCAGGCAGAGGAGATGTAGTGCAAAGGCCCAAGGTGAGAGAGGGGTCAGGGAACAGCAAAGAGGCTGCCTGGCTGGAGTGGGAATTTAAGAGGACTAGGTCATGTGAGGACTTATGGGCCACTGTAACTATTTTTGGCATCTATTAGGGACATGGGGATTTTTTTTTTTTTCTTTTTTGGCTGCAAGCATGCCATGTGGGAACTCCCCGACCAGGGATCGAACCTGTGCCCCCTGCAGTGGAAGCCTGGAGTCTTAACCGCTGGACCGCCAGGAAAGTCCTGGGACATGGGGATTTAATGGGGGATTTAATCAGATTCTTTTTTTTTTGCAGTACGTGGGCCTCTCACTGTTGTGGCCTCTCCCGTTGCAGAGCACAGGCTCCGGACGCACAGGCTCAGCGGCCATGGCTCACGGGCCCAGCCGCTCCGCGGCATGTGGGATCTTCCCGGACCAGGGCACGAACCCGTGTCCCCTGCATCAGCAGGCGGACTCTCAACCACTGCGCCACCAGGGAAGCCCCCAGATTCATTTTTAATAGGATCACTGGCTGCTGCATTGAGAAAGAAACCAGGAAATGGGTAGGATACGCCTGCAATGATACAGTCAAGGGATGAAGGAGTTGGACTGGGGTAGGGGCAGTGGAGGTGGTGAGACATGGTAGGATTCTGCATATTCTTTGCTGATGGGTTGGATGGAGCAGGAATAAAAAAGGTGTCAAGGATGACTGAGGGTTTTGCCTCAGGCCTTCTCTGAGGATTAATGACTCTCAAATCCATGCTTCCAGCCCAGACTCCCAGGCTGGTACATAGCAAGGGACTGACATTAACATTTGACAGACTGAACTGAAAAAGTTCTGTTTGATGAATCTGTTGGGATGGTGGCACCATTTTTCTAGGCCTCCACCAATGGCAGAGCCTACCTCCAGATATTGGGAGTGCAGAGAAAAGAGCTGCCATGTCCCCACCTTGGTCTAAAATGAGAAGTTGAGACAGGGCAGAAACAGGAACAGGACCATACCCAACCCTTCCAATAAGAAAACTGGGGACAAGAAGGAGGGATATAAAAGTAAAAAATGCCAAGAATGATGGCCATAGAATTGGTTTGTGATGTCAAAGAGACTGGATGCCAATCCCAGCCATGCCTCTTGACTCAACCTCTTCCCTTCACTGGTCCGCCTTCTCTCTGAAATGGGGTGGCTGGCTTTCTGAAGAGTCTGTCCAGCTCTAACCATCTATAGTGTTCTGATCCTTTTCTTACAAGTCCCTGTCTCCTCTAACCATTTGACACACTGCTTCTCCAACATCGTCTTTCGGGAACTTTTCTGTTTCCTTTCAGACTGATTATTTCTGACTCTGAGTCTTGTAAGATGTCACTATTAGTTCCCAAAGGAAAATATCCATGTGCTTTTTTGCCTGCTTGAAATAAATACTACCTTAGGTCAGTTACCCCATCTGTAAACTGGGAATAACACGAGATCGTAGGGATGCTGAGGAGGGTTAATTATATACAGAACATGTAGGGGTTGAGCACACAAGTGCTCTGGGAGTTTTTGGCATAATACTATAGCATTACAATAATTTTGGCTTGCAAATTATACCCCAGCAGAGGCATCACATGGAAAAGTGGGTCTGACCCCATGGCCTGCTGAAAGTGAAATGGGAAATATAAGTTGTGAAATATAACTTCTCTTCCTAAACCTTTGGAAAAGGCAGAGATCACTCTTCCATGTGCAACCCACGTGCAGGGAACAAGTTTCCAGATCCTGGAGAAGATTCTCTTGCCCAGGGTGTCCTGGCCTGCTGCCAGGATCTGGCCATTCCTCCTTCCTGAACCTAGAAGCAGAGATGGGAAGGAAGGGAGCAGGAGAGGATCTGTGGTTGGTTGAAAGGTGGGGCTCGCAAGGAGAAAGTCCTTGCCTTTCAGGTTTTCTACTTGAGCCTCTCTTACTTGTGGGATAATTAAGTGCTTATACAGTGGAGGAATGAGTTAAAGGGTAATCTGAGATAGTTAAGTCTAGGGACACCCAAAATAAACATCTTAGCTCAGGTCAACTTCTGGGTCCTCTCACCATCCCCCAGACACCCCCCCACACACACATCATAGATTATTTGCTGTGAAATTCTAAAAAAGTAGATCTCAGGCAATGAAGGGGCTGTGTAGTTGATGATGTCTGTGACTATGGCGTCATATAGTGGGTTTGTAAAATTTAACTGGCTCATAGAGGATGACAGTCTTGTCTGACCAGAAGGGAAGAGCAAATAGCTTGATCCTGAAGGGACAGTTTGCAGTCAATTCCACTGCATCACTGTTTGTGGCTGAGTGGACAGAGCACAGGCTTCAGAGTAAGACCCAAGTTGGAGTCCTGGTTCTGCCACTTCCCCCACAGTGGCCTCAGTCAGGGGAAGAGGCCCTCCCTGCCCAAGAGCCTCAGACTGCAAGTCTGACCTCCACCTCCAGTTCTGGCCAAAAGAGTTACTGGCCTTGCTCCCTGACCTAACAGGTCCCACTTTACCTACGGGATACAGGAAAAAATAGATTCCCCCAAAGCCCATCTACAATATACAGGTTGCCAGTGGAGGTAATTAGTGATTTGGACTATCATCCTAATAAGTTAGCATCCTTAGAGAATTTCTCAGGTGTCAATTCATACCTTAGGGTATGCCATATTCTGGAGCTTGATTAGCCTAATTCAAAGGAGCACCGGCTCTACTGGCAGTTACCTCATTTCTAGGCAGCTCCTCTTCCTCGGCAGAGCATATGCTGCCTCCCAGGTAAAGCTTTACCAAGCAAGCTGTGCTCCTCACTCGGCCTCAGTTTCCGCATTTTAATAATCAGAGGACGACCTTAAATTGCAAAGTAGAGACTAGTAGAAATGACACAATTTCGGCGCCACCATACCGGGAACTGGCATCCAGGCCCACCTGGGTGACCTTCTTCTGAGCCTCAGTTTCTCCGTCTGTAAAATGAGGGCCCTGGATTAAATGGAGCCTTGCCAGCTCCTACAATCTTAGGCTTTAAACGTTCCCACAGCTCGCTCTGCCAGGTTGGCCGTGAACAGAGCTAAAGCCACGACTTCCTCAGAGGTGAAAAGGTAAGCAAACATTCCGACCTCCCCTTAAGCTTGGCTCTCCAACTGGTGGGGGGCCAGACGCCTGCCGTCTATCCTGGCCGCATCCGTCATCTGGATTGTTAAAACGCTCATTTGCATAAGGATTCCTCCGAAGGTCTGGCACAGTGGGCTGAAAGTCTTCGTCCCTTTAGGTAGGGAATAGACACCCTGTCCCTAAGGGGTCTCGGCACCGCAAGTCCTCCAAGCGGATCACGCCGTAAACTAGAAAAGCCTCGTGTCCCCAACAGTGGGGGTCCCGGGGAAGGGTTTGGCCTCTGCGCGCTGCAGGCTTAGGCTGGCAACCTCTCGCCCTAGGCGGCGGCGGACTGCGAGCGAGGCGGGGCCTGTTGCGCCGCGGGACCCCGGCGCCCTCAGGCGAGACCCAGTGCCTGGCGCCGAGGCGGCCACAGGAGGTGGCGCGTGCTGAAAAGGGGAGCTGCTTCTGCCTAGGACCCGGGCGCAAGAGGGGTGGAGCCAGGGCCGAGGTCTGGCAGCAGGAAGCGTGGGGGTGGGCGGGACGGGGTCTGCGGGGGCGGGATGGGGGCGGGGCGCGCGCAGGCCCAGAGAGGGCGGGGCCGCAGCGCGGGGCGGGCGCTGGCGGCCCGAGTGTCACACACGCGGCGGTTCGGGAGGCGGCGACAGCGGCAGCAGCAGGCGCCGCCGGGACGGGCACGGGCGCGCGGGCTCGGGCGGGCGCCGGCTGCCTCCTCCCTCCTTCGTCGCTTGCTCGCTCGCTCGCTCTCCGGCCCGCTTGCTAGCCGGCCGGGTGCCGAGCTCGCTACAGCGTTCTCGGGAAGGAAGAAGTGGGGGGCCGAGGACGCCGACAAGTTCCAGCAGTACCGGGAATCCGGGCCAAGGCGGTGGCTGCGGTTCCGACGGGGCAGGAGCGCGCTCCGTGGCGGAGCGCACGGCCAGAGCGTCCGAGGAGGGGGGCGCCCGGGCCTTTAGTTATCTGTGGGGCCGCGGCCGGGTCCCATGAGACGTGCCCGCGAAGGGCACGAGATCCGAAGCCTGGGAGGCGCGCGGAGGAGGCGGAGGGCGGTGCTGCAGCGGCCGGAGCCCGGGAGCGGCCGGCAGGAGGCGGCGGAGAGAACTTGAACTTGGCGTCGGGAGCGGGCGCCCCGGACGCCCCTCGCCGGGGCGGGGGCGCCGAGGGACCTGGGCGGCAGCACTGCCCTCCGAATGGCCGCGGCGGCGGACCCGGCTCCCGCGCCGCGGCCCTAGGCGGCCTCTCGCCATGGCCAAGTGGCTGAACAAGTACTTCAGCTTGGGCAACAGCAAGACCAAGAGCCCCCCGCAGCCGCCGCGGCCCGACTACCGCGAGCAGCGGCGCCGGGGCGAGCGGCCCTCGCAGACCCCCCAGGCCGTGCCGCAGGCCCCCTCGGCCACCTCGGCGTCCTGCGGTACGGCCGCCGCCTCCTGCTTCTCGGTCTCGTCGGGATCGCTGCCCGACGACAGCGGCAGCACTAGCGACCTTATCCGCGCCTACCGCGCACAGAAAGAGCGCGACTTTGAGGACCCCTACAACGGGCCCGGCTCGTCTCTGCGCAAACTGCGCGCCATGTGCCGCCTGGACTACTGCGGCGGCGGGGAGCCAGGCGCGGGGCAGCGTGCCTTCTCGGCCTCGTCCGCGTCGGGCGCCGCGGGCTGCTGCTGTGCCTCCTCTGGCGCGGGCGCCGCCGTGTCCTCGTCCTCGTCCTCGGGCTCCCCTCACCTCTACCGCAGCAGCAGCGAGCGGCGGCCAGCCACGCCAGCCGAGGTGCGCTACATCTCCCCCAAGCACCGCCTCATTAAGGTGGAGAGCGCCGCGGGCGGTGCCGCAGAACCCTCGGGGGGCTCCTGCTCAGGCGGTCGCACCTGGAGCCCGACAGCCTGCGGAGGCAAGAAACTGCTCAACAGGTGTGGCGCCTCGGTCGCGGAAGAGAGCGGTGCCGGCAAGAAGGACAAGGTAAGGCGCCCCTCGGCCTCACCCGAGGTTCCAGAGCCACTGTGCGCACGGGTAAACTGAGGCACCGCTCTGGTTTCGAGTTCCTACATCCACTCGGGCTAGGACCTTTGGGGTCAGGCCTCTCAACGGTGCTTCCCAGTTCTGCCTCTGCATGCGCTTTGCCCCCGATCGCCGGCCTCCTGACACAGTCTCTTTCACCGCTGCTGCCAAAACGTCCTCTCTCTGAGCCCACAGCCAGGTGCCCCTTTCGGAAGTAGCCTGACGAGAGCGCCCCGCCCAGCCTTGCCCAAGAAAGAGACACCTAACTAGCCCTTCAGACCCCCGAGGAGGAAAGTCAGAGAGGCAGAGATGTCACGGACTTAAAAGCGTGTTTACTTCTGTCTACCTCCTCTTCCTCCTGCCCGATTCTATACATGGGAAACTGAGGTCCAGAGCTGGGAAGGGACTCGCCGGATATTACCCATTTCCTATGGCAGAGTCAGACCGGCTGTCTTGAAATGGATATATGTAAATCACTCTAAACGCCCTGCCCTGACCCACCCCCCCGCGCCAGGTTTCGAAATGGGGCGGCCTTTTGTACTGGAGCTGCACCGGGAACCCCCAAGCGTGCTCTTCCAGTTGCAGTGAGCTGGCCTACAAGAGCGCTCCACTTAGACCTGTCAGTTCCTCCAGCCGCGCATGGGAGGGGTCTGCCTACCCAGCCAGCTGGAAGGAGACCCACCCCTCCAAAACCTCACCTTCCTTCCTGACCTTACCCCCACCCCATACAGCCCCAGGGATGAGGGGGACGATTTTGTGCAACCCCCCTCCCTAACAAATCAGACCATCTCGATCCCCACCTTTGAAGCAGGTTAGTTAATTCCAGCCAGATGGGGCCCTCTCCTCCCTCTTCACACTCCTGTGACACCCTCCTTTCCCCCATGAAATAATACTTGTTCTGTCTACTTCTGGTGGAAGGCAGTGTTTTGATTACATCTGAGGCCCAGTGCCTTGCAATGGCTATCAGGCCGCTGTCCCTCTTGTTCTCCTCTGGCCCCCTACGTTCTCCCAAAGGTAAACTTTTGCCCAGGTGTGGGCTGGGGGAGACTGATAGAGTCTGAGTTTCTTTTAGGACTGGATGTCCAGACAGGAGGGAGACAGGCTCCTACCTGCCAGCTGGTGCTTGGAAAGGGATCTTTTTTGTTTTCCAGGCAGGAGGAGTAAGGGGATGCCCCTCCTGATTTTTTTCTGCCTGACTTCCTCTCCCCAAGGTCCTAGGTCCCCCGAGTACTCCCTCCTCCCCCCCGCTGGGTCTGCTGAAGGCATCGTGGGCAGTTGGTGGATTCCACCTCCCTCTGAGCCAGTTTTGGGGACACATCTTGGAAGCATGGACTCTGGGCTTCCTAAGCACGCAGGATGCCATACCTAAATGACAAAGAGCTGGAAGCCAGGTGGCCACCCAGGTGCTGCCTTGGGGACAGAGGAGGTTTCTCCGAGAGCCCCCAGGATTATGGGTTTGTGGTTGATCTATGAGGGAAACAGCAGAGAGGCTCCCTCCTGCCTTATGTGTGGCCCAGGCTTGGCTAGGTGCTGGCCTGGGAGAACCTGAAGTCCCTGGGGATGGAAGGACGGCCCACCCTAGCTCTCCAGAGAGATTGTGCCTTCCCCCATTACTCCATGACCACCTCCCAGGTGGGCAAATCTCCTTTCTCTACCACTGCTTGTCGTTCTGCTTGCTCACTGAAGTCTTCCTTTATGGTTTTCAAAACTCTAGTAAATGTTTTTTCTAATTATAATTAAGACTTTCAAATACTGAGGAATAATAAGTTTTATAGCTGGAGTGTCAAGTGTGTTGAAGACTTGGCTTGTTTGTATTTCTTACAGGTCTTCTCTGTGCTCTCCCTTGCTGGGTACTAGAGCAGGGTCTAGTGAATACTGTGGCCCAGGCCGCAGTGTGCATGATAAGTGCCGTGATGGGACGTGGTCAGGGAGGACCATTATTATGGTTGGCTGCAGAAGAGAGCCTGGTGCTGTAGGGGACTGCAGGTAAAGGTCCTGTGGCCAGAATTCAGAGGTTAGAGTTGGGCAGGACCCCAGAGGGGCAGGAGGGCCCGGGTGAGGGAGGACCTTGAAAGCTAAGCACAGTGAGGGCCAGTGAGGGGGTTTAGCTGCTAAATGATGTGAGCAAATGTGGTTTTTAAAAAAGATCTCTCTGGGGACTTCTCTGGTGGCACAGTGGTTAAGAATCCACCTGCCAATGCAGGGGACATGGGTTTGAACCCTGGTCCAGGAAGATTTCCCCATGCCGAGGAGCAACTGAGCCTGTGTGCCACAACTACTGAACCTGTGGTCTAGAGCCCATGAGCCACAACTACTGAGCCCACCTGCTGCAACTACTGAAGCCTGCATGCCTAGAGCCTGTGCTCTGCTCACTGCAACTAGAGAAAGCCTGTGCACAGCAACGAAGACCCAACACAGTTAAAAAAAAAAAAAAAAAAAAAAAAAAAAAAAAAAAAAGATCTCTCTGGGCTGTATTTTCACATACTAGGTTGTGACTTTGAGCCCTTTGGTCTTTTAAGAAGTTGTTGTGATCCTTGGAGTTGGAGGGATTGTGGCTACCAGATGTTCTTTCTAACGAGTAGGAGGGGAAGGAGCCCAGAAGGGTCATAGTATGCAGTGGTTCTCAAACTGGCACCCGGAGGACTGGTTAAAACACAGATTGTGGGACCCATCGCCTGAAGTGCCTGAGTCACCACACCTGGTGTGGGGCCTGAGAATGTGCATTTCTAACAAATTCTCAGGTGATCTTTTGCTGCTGATCCTGGGACCACACGTAGAGAACACTAATGAAACAGTGGCTTCTTAACCCTCCCTCTGGGTCTTCTGGTCAGAGCTGCTTTGGGATGCAGACTCTGGATGTCCTCATCTCTGCCCTCTGTGTGGGACTGCCTCCTAATCCGGGGCTAACACCCACCCCCCATTCCTGGCCAGGCAGCCAGGAGGCAGCCTGGTTTTCACATTATTTCCAGCCAGATAGCTTTTGGAAGGTCAGGCATACTGCAGATCCAGCCCTGAACACCCCAGAGCCCGCCTTCTGCCCCTCACCCACAGATCCAGGAAAACCTACTCTAGCCCACTTAATCTCAGACCCAGCTTCCTTTTTTCTGTTGTTAGGAGTTAGGACAAGGACCCCTAGGGCTGCTGAATGCCGCCTGCGTGCCAGGCCCTGTGTTTTTAACATTGGCCTGTGTTGAGGGTTGCTATGGCATGGGAGTAGGAGCTATTGGTCCACAGATCCTCCTTTCAGGGCCTCCATTGCCACCTCCCAACCAGCTTTATCTTTGGGGGGCCCTTCTCCTGCTTCCCTTAGTTACCTGTGCTTCCTTCTGACACATACTTGGGCATCCTTCTATTCTCCCAGGTAAGTCCCAGGGCACACACACACCTGGTCACATATGCCCCACTCAGCCAGCCTCCAGTTTGGGGCATTTTCCCTTTTAGAATCATCTGTAACAGACTGTGTTTTCAGCTTAAACAGCTTTTCCCTGCACTTACTTTTGTGCTCAGAGATCTCTCGGTACAAGGGTGAGCTAGGAGGAAGGGAATAAAGGCTGCAAAAGACTTGGCAGTAATCTTTGGCCTAAGCCTCCGGAGGGTATCTACACACATTGTCTTTTCATCATTTGTTTCCCAGTGTTTTTGTCTTGGGGAATTTAGTGAGGTCTTCACCTAGGAGGCAGCTTTGAGCTGGGGAGAAGGCTGACTGCAGCCTGTGGGAGCACTTAGGTGCCTGTGCTGTGAGTGTACATGCATACGTGTGTCCATATATGTATGTGTGTGGGCGTATGTGTGTGCAAATATATGTATGAAACCTTAATGTGCAGGGTGTTCTTAGAAACTAGAGCTTTCTTGCAGTGGGCCTCACTTGGGGAATGAGAGGTGACAATGTGAGATACATGGGGTCCTGAGTTTAGACCCCACAGGGGAATCCTTGAAGACTGTTGAGTCAGGAAAAGGATAGACTCAGAGCCATAGTTGAGGAGGATCCCAGGTTACAGACAGCTGCCACAGTCTGGGGGAAATGGGTTTGGAGTTAGGAGGCAATTACAATACAGTCCGAGTGAGACGCCTGTGAGGGCCTGAACTCCTGGGAAGAGAAAAACGAAACTTTAGTAGGTGGAAATATTATTCCTTTAGGTTGTCTTTATAAAAAAATAATGATGACAAAGAGGCCAGTAACTTGGTAGGTCTCCTTTTGTGCAGCCAAACAGGGCTCATCCAGTTGTATTTTCTGCTGAAGTCTTGTTTCTCTTATCAAAATTAAGTAAATGTTTCCACTGCAACTGAGAAAGTCAAGATGCACCATGACATCAGTTCCCCAAGTTTTAAATACATGCTGATGTGTACCAACAATTTATATTTTGTCAGCATCCACAGAGTTGAGTTAAATAACATGTTTCCTAAGGAATAAATAATATCATGTTCAACTTTTTTTTTTTTTAAACACTCAGCAAACAGTTTCTGAGCAGCGTGCTAAGCAGGGGGCAATTCAGAGAGAATAAGTGGTGGCCAGCTTTCCAAGAGGGAAGCTTTTCAGTTTGTAGTTGAACACGAGCTTTTCAAGATCTAGTCTGGGAGACAGAGACGGGTAATGAGGCAGTGTCGCAACATGTGGCATGCCAGAACAGAAGGGTGTGCAAAGGGCTGGGAGGGCCTCAACTCTGTCTGTGAATTCAAGGAGGGCTTTCAGGGGGTGGCAGCATTTGAGCTTCTCCATGCAGAGGCTTGTGCCAAGAGAATGGTTGGAGGCTCTGAAGGGTGGGTGTGGCAGGAGGTTGGAGCCACAACAGGAAGAGAGTGTCTCACTGTCTTTGTGGGGAGTTGTGACTTGTCTTTCAGTCCTTTTCACTTCAAATCATTGATGTATAGCTTGATTGAAGCCAGGGTCAAGCATGAGCTGTCAGTCATTTCTATTTGGTTAACAGCCACATTCTCCAGTTCTGAGAACGTAATTGATTGGA